GTAAGAATTGGGGTCATCCTGTACAGAGAAAATCTAGAAAAAGTGCATGTCATTTAAAGGATAAACCACGGAAGAAAAGTTTCTTAAAATGCATGTCTTAAAGAATGAAGAAATAATAGAGGAAAGAGTCTTAATAGGTACACAGGACATAGCTATCTCAGTTTAGAATATCAATTTAACCAATCAGCATCAAGTTTTTAGTCGAATCAATTTTAAATCCGGATTTACAAACTGACAACACAAGCGGTATAATTGGCAGTGACTCACATTAACAAATACGGTATTTGTTCCAGACTTAATACCATAAACCATAGCATATCTACCATCCCTGCCCACCTCCTCCAATCACACTGCAAGTTTATGTGACACTGATGTGACATACAGTGGCAGCTAGGCTGGCACAGCCAGGCCTGAAGTCAGGAAGCCTCATCTTCTTGAATTCAAATCTGGCCTGTGTGACCCTGGCAAATCACTTAATCCTGTTTGCCTCAGTTTCTCATCAAGAAGGAAATGGCAATCCACTCCAATATCTTTGCCAGGAAAACCCCCAAATTGGATCATGAAGAGTCAGACCTGACTGAAATAACTGAACAACAATATGACATACATTAAAAAGGAACTTTGCGAATCCAATTTTAATTAACTTATTCATTTTCAAGATCAAGGTTGTCTTACTATACATGCCCCTTAGGCAAGTAAATAAAAGTTACACCCAGATTATTAAAGTTAATTTACATAATGGAATCTATAATATATTTTATGACATTCCTTCAAACAGAAAATCCTTTGAAAGTCCAGGCTAACAGTTCATTGCATAACTGTCTCCTTGGCATCTTTGGATAAACCACAAATCGGATACTAATCTAATAAAATAAAATTTACAAAATTTTAACCTATCACTTTCATTTTCAAGCTTTCTTAAGAATTAACATTTTGAAAGTGTTCAGAGTTGAACCTCAATTTGTTCATTTCTGGAGTTAGATTTAGCTTCCTCTAAATCTGAGGTCTAATACTTGGATGAGTTTTTTCCAAATAGAGAGCTCTAAAAAAACTCCAAGTGATCTGACTGACATACATAACAACCTGCAAAAGTCTATTTCGATTTCTATAATTTGTTATCTGTAGATTCTCTAAAAAGAAAATGCATTAAAATACCTGAAGTCTCCTTTTGTCTCTTCTCTCCTACCCAAATATTTATTTCCACTTCCTTCTTCACACCAACCAAACCAACTACCACTTTCCTTATTAGAAATGAATTTTTTTCAGTTAAATCTGTAGCCAGTGCATTTCCTTAGTCTTAATCTCACACTGTTGAATGATTTCTCTGCATTTCAGAAAAGCTGCTTATTAAAATTTAATAACAATTTTCAAGATTTGTAAGTCACCCCATTCTCTGTAGCTAAAAAGAAACCAGTAACTCAATGTACAATCTTCATTATATATTTCTACTCTAGTTATCAGATAGGTTTTCTGATTATAATTTTCTTGTCAATTCTTAAATTTCAGGGGTGTGTTCTTCCATGACAAGCACAATTGTACTAATTTGACATAAATCAGGGTTCATTTACCAACCAATTTTGTTAGGAAACTTGTTAAAAATTTTCTCAGTTGGTTACCTGTAACCAATACTAAAATGTTCAACATGAATAAAATCTTATTTTTATCTTAATTTGTGCAAAACCTAAGTTAACTACACCCTTCCCTCCCCCCAGCACACATTTTAAGGTGAAAAAGGTAAATGATACATTGTCCCTCCAATATTAAAAAAAATAGGAACAAAAACCTAAACTTCAAAGTATACTTTGAGTTCATTAGAGATTTCAGTCTAATCTCCTTCACCTTGTACATCTCTATCAGAGTAAAATAACTGGTTTCAAAATAATGAGCCCCCCTGTAAATGAAAGATATCCATCTTCCTTTTCTGCCACCTTCACCAGATCTAATCATGGAAAGTGACAGATATAAGCACAAACATGGGTGTTTAAAACCAGTAGAAGTATACATGTTTATTTATTTGTGTGCATGCACATACACAAACACTGAAGAACAGATGCTTTCCAAGAGCTAACCAAAAGTTCCTGAAAGAATTCCTTTCATTACTAGATACTGGTACACACTTATTTATAATTTACTTTGTCAAACAAAAGCACCTTCCCATTTCTCAACCAACATTCTGAAACATTCCAGTCTCAGAAACTGTTTTCCAATTTAAACAGTTCTCAATATAACTTTTCCCCAAATACTAAGTATTGGGACTCAAGTTAAACCACTTGGACACAGGTTAAAGTTTGCTACCTCTAAGAAGCAAATAAATTTCCACATGACACTAAACATCACTATTCTTTGGACATAACATTAGACCCGAACAGCTTTTGTTGCCTCTTCCTTCTCACCCTCCAAATATTACATGGTACCAACTATTTAATACTAATAACTTTAAGAGATAATTTATTTAACTATGTATCACTAGAAAAACCTATCACTCTCCTTACCTAAATTTATCTCAGTGTATCCAAAAATTATTCACAACAAAAACGTTACCTGTTAGAATGAATCAATAACTAATCACAATATTTTGGAGCAAGAAAGTTTTGTGAAACCTCTTGGATTCTGAATAAAGTTGACTGTCTAAAAATTTTTAAAAGCTGATCATCCTAGCAACACCTTAAATTGACTCAAAACAACAGTTAAATGTTCTAAAGTGTTCTATATGACTATATAGTAGCACACATGCTCAATTAGTTATAAAAAAAAATGCTAACTTGAAAACAAAAATCCACAAGTTATTGCTAGTTTCCAGAAGCACCTCTTTGGAACCAGCTCTAACTGGCTCCTTGAGGAATGTGGCTTGGCTGATAGGAAATTTTAGCAACTGAGGCTATTTTCAGTAGCAAATAGGGGAAGAAAGTGGAAGGCATTTTTGTCTTTCTAGCTGTTAGTTTGCAACCTTCAAAATAAACACACTACATGAATTCACAACATAGTCTAATGGTAGTAGAAGGGAGTATTACCTCTAGACCACCCATTAGCTTAGTATAAGTTTAGTACATCATGGTGTAAAGATGGGGACTGGATTTTTCACTAAACACTCCACATTTCTACGTTTCTCAAACTAGACTGATAATGAAGTTTTCGGTTAACACTTTTCATAATCAAAAGTTTATTAAAATGACATCCACACTGCTTTGAGTTAAAAGCCTACCTTAGGTCTGACAGCTTACTAATAAAACCCTTAATGTTAATGAGTTTGACATCTTCCTTACTTGTTCCATTTGCCTGACCTTTAAAAACAGACACCTGGTCATCTTTGAAGTCTACAATCTGGGAAAGGACTCTAGAAATGCAAAGATTTTAAACTGCTTATCTTAGGTATGTGGCATGATGAAGCTATTAGAGGTAATATACAGGTGCTGGTGACTGAACATTTGTTACGAACAAAACCTCGCCAAAGAACCAAAAGATGAACATATCTTTAAACTACTGCGCTTTACTTACTAATCCTCGTCTCTACTGATGTCAGCTCACAAGAGTAACTAAGTGTGTTAGGCCCATTTTCCCATGGTCTGTAGAAGGCGCTGTGAAGCAGATCCTGGTTGTACATCTGGGGCCCTTCCCCCCCTCTGCAGCCTTACCCAGTGCAGAGAATGCGCCCCCTACTGACTGCAACACTCATCTCCTTTAGCCGACTTGGCTGCGGTGCATTTTGGGTGGGGGCTGGCATTTTCTTCAAGGCCAATAAACCAGAAGCAACAATACAGATTTAATTTAAAAAACACAACACAACACAACACAACACAACACAACCAAACAAAAACTGGATCAGGCTTCTGTGGTGCACTTCCCACATCACCCCTTTTTCAAAGAATCAAGACACATGCACTCAAAACATCGTAAATGGTAGTTGTGAGGGAGCAGCATTAAAATGACATCCAGAAAGCAGCTTTTTTTTTCTAATTAAATTATTGGCTTTGTCTGAGACATGGGGCTACACCAAAAACCAAAAAACCAAAAACAAAAACCCGTAGAGGAAGTAGATGCAAGTCCATCAAGGTGCATGATTTTCAGAGGAGGGGGTGGGACTATGTGGGAAACAGGAGTACAGGGTCTGGCCCAGAAGCCAGATCCTGGGCGCAGGAGGAGCTGAAGCAATCGCGCCTTTTCCAGCAGACACAGACATCCAGGTTGGGGGGGGGGAAGGAGGGGAAGGAAGGGAATGGAAGAAGGAAGGAGGGGTGAAGAAGAGGGCGGTAAGGCTACTACTCTCCATTCATTAAATTTCAGTAATTTCTGCTCTCTGGCTTGCCATTTTCTGTCATCTTATTAGCGTGTCCAAACCCCAACTTTGCGACAATAAGCAGCGTTTACCAAACAAGCCGGCATTTTTAAACGGAGAGATGCTATCGCTCTCTGTACCGGAGGGGAGGGAGAACTGGCATGCTAAGAAAGAATGAATTCAGAAAGCAAATACTTCGGTTCATGCCATGCTAATCCGCCTTGGTGTCCCTCCACTTCTCACAAATCCAACCTCTTCCCCCCCTCCCCAAAAAGCTGGGAACGGGGTGATTTGGCAGGAGACTCAAGTCTGCTCAGGAATTTGTTTTTAAAAAAATTAAACCAAGCCCACATCCATATGTCTTGCTGCTGCTGAAAACTGTGTCCTCTATAGGCACCTCCGGGAGCTAAAAAGGTGGGGAATTTCTTTTTGATGGGGAGAGTGGGTATATAAGAAGCTACACATGATGCCAAGACCCCCAAGAAGAAAGCCGGTAGTTAGGTCCACACCGTTATATCAAGAGGATGATCAAACCATTCAAGCAGCTTAAGCATACAGAGGACTAGTATGAGGGGGAGGGGGTTAAATTTAAACAACAAAGCGATGTTAAGTCTGCAGAGGAGCTATTTCACGCCTTCAAAGCTTCGCAGGACTGGGATGCACAAGGGGTGCCTCTTGCAAACTCGGGAGGATCTGCAGTGATGATTGCACTTGAGAAAAGATTGCAATGGAGCCTGCACCTTATGGAGGTTACACGAAAGAGGCTGCACGGGAAGGAGAAAGGATGTATCCATCTCTCCTCGTGTAGCGGGGGGTGGGTGTGGGGAGTGGGGGGGGCCGGGAGCGGGGGAGAGGGAAGAGGAGGGAAGGAGTTCATGCAGCTCAAAGTGCAAACCAATCGGTGCATTATTCCATGCATCGAGAAAGATAAAAGAAAAAGAGAGTCGAAGAATCGCTTACCTTGATTTGGTTCGTGAGGCTGCACAGAGCCGGCGTGGTAACGAGGAGGGGGATCCCAGCGGCGGGAGGCTCGAGGGGCAGGCGGCGGCGGCGGCGGCACGGCAGCAGCGGCGGCAGGGTGGGGGGCGCGAGCTCGCCCAGGGTCTCGCGCTCCGGCTCGCGCCGCTGCCGCTGCGGCCGGGGGGAGCAGCGGACGCAGCAGAGTGAAGGCGGCGGCAGCACGAGACGCCGGTGAGAAGCGGCGGCGCGAGCGGCTCCCTCCAGTCCCCGGGCGGGCGGCGGCGGCGGAGTCGTCGAGTGGTGCAGACAAAGGGGGAGGAGGAGGAGGAGGAGGGGTGGTGGAGGGCGGTGGGTGGGGAGGCGGCCTCACCGGCGGTGGTGGCGGCAGCCTCGGCCGCTTCTTTCCTCCTCAGCAGCGCCAGGCGGCGGCGGCGGGACCGGGAGAGGGAGCTCGTCAGAGTAAAAGAGAAAATCCCCCTCAGCGCTGCCCGGGGGAGGGGGGGGCACAAGATGGCGGCGGCCGGGGAGGGGGTGGGGGGTGCGTGAGTTCAGCTCATGGATCCAGGCGGGCGGCTAGGGGGACCGGGCCGGCGGGGGCGGCGGTGGGCAGGCGGGGGAGGGGGCCTGATCCCGCGTCTCCCCTCAGCAGACAATACAGGCGCCTCGGAGCGAGTCCCCGAACCTGCCCTGGCCAAAATGGCGGCCGAGAAAGAGCGGAAGTGACGTAAGTCCTTCATTAGCATAAGAGGACTCATTGTCCAGCTGGGGGGGGCTCTTGCCCCTTCCCCCCCACTTTTGGGGGGGCATTTACCCCACTTACATTTCACTTCACATTTCACTTACCCTAGCAGTGTGGGTCATAACAACTCTTCTCCCCTCCTTCCCTGGGGTAGTTATATAATATCATTAAAGGGGGGCTGTTCTCGCGAGAATGGGAGGTGTGTCGAGGTGGGGAATGAATTTGCTATTGACCCACTAGGAGGCGCCTTGAATAATGGCCGCACTGCGCCGCCTCCTCCAGTGTGTGCGGCTGGCGCCTTCCTCTGGCCACTGCAGGCGGAGGCAGCAGGACCAAAGCACTGCCCTAGCACTCAGTCAGGTGGCTGTACTGAGAATCCCTGCGCAGGGCCCCAGCTGGGCCTGAACTACTTTTGGTGGGGGGAGGGGGTGTGTGGCAAGATGCACCCACGTGGAAAAGTAAAGTGTGTATGTAGGGCAAGGGAAGAGGGTCCCTAAAAGACAAATTAAGATTAAGGGTGAAAGGGAAATCACCTGCCACAGTTAAGTTGCTCTCAAGTTACATCAAAAAGGAAGGCCACATTCCCTCAAGCCATATTCATTTTTCCTCAATGGGTGAAAGTTTCTAAGGCACTGTCTTAAATCTTACAATGAATTTAGTGAATTAAGTTTCTCAGCCCAGGCTTCCCATCCACCACCTGGCTTGGTGAGAATATTCCTGCAGATGAAAACTGATTTTTACAGATTGTTAGTTGTTTCTTTGTAATTTTACATTCTCCATAGACATCCAAAGACATATTATGGATAGACCTTGGGGCAAGTCATTAAATCTGAGCCTCAATTTTCCCATTTGTAAAATGAGGGAAGGTTGGTCTAAAATAGATCATCTCTAAGGTCCTTTCCAACATTATATATACATACATAGATAAAAACACAGCCATGTATTTTGTTAGAAAATACTCCTTGTTGGTCATGAATTTTTATCCAATATTATTTGTTTTAGAAGCCAGCATTCATTTTCACGGGATTAATAATGTCAAAAGATGAGAAATTCTGGCCCTGAAAGCTCTACTTTTCTTTTTAAAGCTTATTCAATTGGGTAGGGCATTAGGGAGGCTGGAACTTAGGATCTGCAAAGTTCAACTTAGGCAAAACTCCATTCTACATTATGCATCTCATGTAAAAATAAGTACCATTCCCTTCCCTCCTTCTTATCCCCCCATATTGTTTGCCTTTGTCTACACTTTTAAATCTATCTTTCTGAGAGTAAGCCAGCAAAACCACTAAACATCACTTTATGAAGGTGGTTAACTGAAAGTACTGAGTAGCTTTATGATACTAAATAGCAAAACAGTTTGGTATGTTTCTACTAACACTGTTAAACTGGCAGTAGAGCATAGCAAAAAGAGCACTGGGCTTTAAAGCCTAGTTTCAAATCCTGATTCTCCTACTTTCTGTGTGACGTTCAGCAAGTCATTTTTCCTCTTCAGCCTCAGTTTTCTCACCTGTATGAGGGGTTGGGCTAAATGATTTCTAAGGTCCCTTCCAGATCTAAAAAATCTTAAATTGTTTTCCCTTAAATAATTTGGCTTATTTCCATAAAGCATGCTTAAGAGTGTTAAAGTAGCAATTTAGCTTTTACAACATTCCTGAATTTCAAGTTAGAAAAAATATTAAAACCTAATTCATACTTTCACAAAAGAATTAGAGGCCTACAAATTTGTGTAAGATATTGTAATTTGAAGATTATGTATTTCAGTGTCCTCAAAGCAATTTTAGTATTTACGCTCATAGAATCTGAGGATGAGAGTTTGAATTCCATCTCTGCTGCTTCTACCTGTATGACCTTCACTGCAAGTCCTGACTATGACTTCCACTCCACCCAAGACTTATTCCTTATATAAAAAGATGGGGTTCAAGTAGATGATTTCCAAGTGTCTCTTCCAGCTATAAATCCTATGTGTGAGCCTATAAGGTTCAACAAGTTGTCACCAGCCCGAAGTATTCCACATACTAATTTCCAAACGAAGGTGGCTGGCTAGGGTTCTTATGAATATCAAAATGTATGTTTTAACTCTTAATTTGATTTAAGTTTTTTCAAAAACCAAAACCATAAAATTAGAAGTGGGCAAAAGGGAAAAGTGTTATATTTACTCAAAAGCCATAAGGGAAGTAAAGAAGCTAATTATACTTTAAAAATAAAGCAGTTAATAAAAGCTATTAATAAAACAGAACTTGAGCAAAATAATGTAACCTCTTTCTTGGCTTCAAGTTTTGGTGTTTTTTTTTAAAGCTTTAGGTATCAGACTATAGTACCAAAACTGTAAGAAACTACACATCCTACATTTTAAAATTTAGGAATTTTTAAAGCAAAAATTGGATAACAGATTCAAAAGCAAAATGGCAAAATCTATTTTTCCTATAAAAATGCTCTTAGATACTATAACATCCTTTTGAATTGACTTCTAAATGGTGAAATAATGCTTTACTGATAAAATTTTTTTTGATATTGCGTTTAAGTAAATTAGAAAATGTAATACTACTTACATTTAATTCACTGCTACTTTTCTCTTAGTTTTCTAACCTCTATAAAATGTACTTTACAATGAAGTCATAGAATCTTTAGAGCTGGAAGTGAATTAAGAGTCACATTGTCCAGGCCCTTCATTTTAAGGCTGAGGAAACTGATGTCCAAATCTGTTAGTTAAGTGACTTGCTCATAGTCATACAGGGCAGAGCTGATTTTAGATGTACTGCTTTCTTCCTTTTTGTTATATTAAGATTTAACAAAGTAAAACACAAGCATATTCACAAAAATTGGTAATGAGGATTCTCATTTTCCTTATCAATTTAAATTTTATATTCTACTTTACAAAATAAAAGAAGCATTTCTAGTTGTTTGAAGGTTTCTTGTTAATAAAAATGTAATAATGAGAATGAATTAAGAGTAAACTTCTTTAAGAAAGGTTGACCCCTGGTGGGCAAGTTAAGGTTTGAAATAAAGAAAATAGCCCTCTTTGGATGGTGGGGCTTTGGACTGAGATTCAACTAACAATGTGGAAAGAACACATGGATTTAAACATATATATTTTAAAAAGAAACTGCATCATACAATTAAATATAAATTTTGGCATTTCTGATATGACTTGTTTGAGAGGCAATGGCAATGTGAAATATCAATTTTTAAAATGTCTTTACTGGTGAAATTCCTGAAGGGGATTTATTTTAGTAATTAAGGGTAACAAAATTGGCAGATGTCTAATTAAGGAATGCCGAATAAAGTGCAAGCAACTTTTGTAACTTACTTGACCAACAAAATAATTAGAAGTGAATCTTATTTAACTCCATTGTTAGAATGAGTTTTACCCAATCTCTATTTATGTACTATATGTTGAGAACAAAAGAGTATATGTATTTGTTTGAAAAAAAAAAAGAAAGTATATTTAGCCTTTAAAAGCTCTCAACTTCTGCAGTGTTGCTATGTGCAACTTGTTAAAAAGGATTTATTGCTTTTTTCACTTATTATGTCTATCTCTATATTAGTAATATTTAATTATCTATTCAGCTTACTAGGTATTTATTTAGCTATATTAATTTCTACTCATTCAGAATCACGAAAGCAAAATATGAGAGGCACCATGAAATAGTGAATACAGCATGCTTCCAGTTCAGAAAGACTTGCTGAAGTTTGAGATTAGTTGGCTGTGTGACCATGGGCAAATGACTCAACTTCTCAGTGCTGGGGGCAATTTTAGGACACTAAGTTGCATACCTGTTGTGGTTAATGGGCATTTGGTAGGAGTTTCCTCACTAAGAACTGCTTACAATGAAATCACAGGGTTACACCAAACAAAAACTTACATTTTTACTCTCATACAGAATTATCTAAAACTTACTATCTTTTTGAGAAAAAGCTCACTATTACTTAGGAATGTGTGTATGGTTTTGTGTTAAAGATTTTTAAAAATAATAAATATTATCTAAGTAACTTTGGGCAAAATACACATTCGGCAGTGTTCAACTCTTTGTGACTTCATCTGGGGTTTTCTTGGCCAAGATAATAGAGTGGTTTGATATTTTTCTCCTCCAGCTCATTTTACAGATGAGGAAACCAAGGCAAATAAATGGTGAAGTGATTTGAATGGCTAGAAACATCTGAGGCCAAATTTGAACTCAGGAAGATGAGTCTTCTTGACTCCAGCCCAGGAATTCTATCCACTGCACCACTTAGCTGCCCAAATACATAATGACCTAACCCAGGCCTGCATAACCCCTGCATCCCACTGGTTTACTGCTTGCAGCACTCCAAAGGATTTCCTCTACATACAAAGGATGTTTCCCTCTCCATTTTTCTCAGGCAGCCTGAAAATCTTTGGCAGGCCATAAGTGGCCAAGAGCTGCAGGTTGTGCAGGCCTGACTTAACCTATACTTACTAAGTAACCCACACAAGGAATTTATTTGCCTTTTCTAAAATATCAAAACTTTTTCAAATGCAGGAAGGAGATAAATATATAACAGTTACACTTCCAACAATTAACTTAAACTTCCAGTTTGGTGCCAACAGCTGTTCCTTAATTGTTTTTAAGAATTATGAGCCTTTGCTGTTCTATATAACTAGCCATAATGTGTCTATATGTACTTTTGAGCACAATGGAATAACACACATATGTAAATTCATTATTTAAAAAATGTATTTTCTTAGAAAAAGGCCCAAGAAAAGGAATTCAGTAAATTGTTTAAAAATGACTAGAATAGCAGTTTGAATCTTGTATGAATTGGATTTTTTTCTCATCGAGGAAAAAGTTCTTAACAGCTTGACATATCTATGAATTTATAGCTATACAACTTTCATCTACCTTCAAAATATACATTTAATATTATCATTAGTCAACTGGTTTAATTTTTACTATGATTTTTCATATTAGAATGCAGTATTTCAAATTCAAGGGTTAAAACAGATCTACTCATTCAAGCTGCAATGAGGCAAAGAACCTAAAATGTTAATTTAAGATAGGCTGGTTGCTTTCCTTATTAGTTTAAGAGAAGATATTTTAAACCAAATGCTGGATTGTGAATGTTTTCCATGTAAACATTTTAGGAATATATCTCAATTATGTACATACATAATTCTTTTAAAATCTATATTCCATAGGTACCCGAAGCTAGAAACTTTGCTTTTACTATTATTATTTAAAAACTTCACAAGAAAATCCAATTTATCAATAATGCTTAATCCAAACCATGTCTTATAAAATTTATTTATAAATCTTATTACAACTGTAAACAGACATAAAGAATATTTCTTCTTTCTTTACATGGATGTGAAACAGACCTCCAGAAAAAAAAATTAAGGTGCATATGAAATTTACCTTACCTTACTGTTTATGGTTTAAGAGTACAATTTAAAAATCACCAACCAGGTCTTTTGTCTTATGTTTAAAATGAAATGAACATGATAATTTAAATATAAAATGAATAGTGTCGTCTTATGTAGTGGCAAACAGAGTCAACAGTCCTTTCAAAAAGGAGACTATTTCATTTCCTCCCAACTTCGATTCACCATAAACTCGATCCACAAATGAGATTGGAACCTATTTGAAAACAAAACAAAAACAATATATCCTTTTAAAAAAAGCAAATAAGCAGAATCTCAATGTGGTGCAAAACCATACCAAACTTTTACTTAAGTTAAACACAGAATTGGTAGAGTTTGCAAATAATTACCAAGTTTATGTTTTAAGTTTAAATTATGTTGGAGTTTTTTTGTATGATGAGAGTCACCAAAACTGAGTGAGGATTTCATGTTTCAATGCATTCATGATCTCACTGATGTGGATACCCTCCATAATAACCCATGGATTTTAAGATCTGAAATTATACCATGTGAACCAAATGATGCCGCTTTGAAAAGAAGTTCAACTCAAAAACAAACTGAACTCTCTTAAGCCTGCAATTCTGCTTCAAGAAAATGTTCTACTCCAAAACTAAAAATATTAATTTAATTTTTTGGGGGCTTTTAAAAGAAAAATTTTATCATTATAATTTTTCTCATTTCATAATTTTATAAATGGGTGCCATGACATTAAGTTGTATTTAAATAGTAGTATTCTATTACTACTTAGTATCAACCTAAACCTATTTTCTCATTTATTTCTTCACAGTTCCAGAAAATTTTCACCCACTCCTAGATGAACTAGGCACCTAGGACCCATGTATTTTACAATTTAATGTTGCCTATGTGCTTAAACTGATAGTAGGAGAGAAATTTACAATAATTAGACTCAGGCGAGGCTGATTCTTTTTGGTAGTGACCCTAAATAGGCACGGATAGATGTCTGTCATAATAAATTAATAATTAAAGGAAGGACAAAATAAAAAAAGGGGTAAATGGAGGCAGAGTTCTAACAGTACTCTAGAAGGGAATGCTAACCTTCTTCTATTAATCCTTCCTTAAAAAACAAACAGAAAAACCCTTAACTTTTTAAAATGAGAAGCCCAGTATGTAGTTTTAGTGATTTCTTAGCATTAAATATGCTTTTCTAATCAGATTAGTCTCATACCTCTCCAATAGTAAAATTCAGTTGCCTAGCTCGAACAATCATCTCCATCTGGAAGACATATCCTTTAGAAACACATTTTTCCATTAATTTCTGTAGAACTTCCTTTCGGTATAGCCTGTAAAGCACGAGAATGATATGAAGCCTGGGATAGTAAAACTGATTTCCATATTATCACAGGTCCACATTTTTAGGGCTTTGAGTCATGAAGTACCCCCCTCTCAGAAGAATTAAATTGAGGGCCATCCAAAGAGTCATAAAGAGACCCATAATGGGCATGGATAGGTCACAACACATTCCCAGCCAAGTATTGCAAGAGAAACATAAAGATTATAAAAGAGATGTATGACTAAAAAAGGCAAGCTGATCAGCGGTGAGAATGAGGGAAAATTGAATCTGCATACTATTCTGATATACACATATTCTCAAGGACCCCAGCACGTTGGGTGGACCCACTCTAGAGAATTTATGGACAAGAGTCACACAGGGTGGGTTACAAGCTTTATCTCTTGAGGGGAGTAGCCACATCAATGAGATCCCACATCTACTTACATACCTAAATATAATAACATCTAATTATTCCCTGAAATTCATAGATGTTTGTATAGTTTAACATGAAAACTTAAGTGAATATTTTAATCATTTTTGTATATTCTGAATCATAAAAATCTTACAATATTTGCATCTTTCAGGGAAGTGTATATCTTTCTTCAAATTGTATGAAAAACTGTTAATTATAGTTAAGTAAATCATTTGAAGAACAGTTTACTATAGTCAATTTTCTGCCAAATTCTGGTAGAAAAAGGTGCTTTAAAATTTCATTAGTTATTTTTTATCATTTGAAAAGAGACTTTTAAAAAGACTAAAGAAAAAACAAAATTCTGAGATATTAAGAAAGTAACAGACCATGGAAAACCTTTCCAGAGGAAAAAAGAGCAAGGCACACAGAGAAGGAAAAGTAGAAATGTAAGATAAGAAAAAGCATAATAATGAACTCCATTTTCTCACCTAAATGTCCCTAGGGTTTTACAATAAAAGCTCAATATGCTCTCTGAGAAACAGGCTACTCCAAGTTGCTACAAACTAGGCCTCCAAGTACTAGAGCTCTGTCTCAGAGGAGAACGCAACAGGTTGTATTTGCTCACAAGATGGGAGGTGGCAAAGCTGAGGATAGGGACATTCCTAACGGATAGAAAATGTGGCAACCTGCATCTTCAAAAGGAAGTATAAGCCTGAAACAAAGAAAACCAGTAACATAAGTACAAAAAGCAGACCTCTATATACTGGGCAAACCTCTACACATTCTTTTCAACCAGTATTCAAATGGAAAGGTGCTCCCTACTTCTACAACTTCCCCAATCTAAAAAACCTTGGACTTGTTTTTTTAAAGGAAAGGGTATAGTTAGGGTTCTTACTTTCCCATAGGGACTTGAGAGTTCAACTATTCCAAACCCCTTATTTTACAAATGAGGAAACTGAAGCCCAGGGAAGTCAAATGATTTGCCCAAGATCCACAGTGGCAGAAATGCACTAAATTGCCATCTCCATTTTTTTTTTTAAGAGAACCCATCTTTAGAAGGGGGTCCACTTAAGAGGCTTTTGTAGAAAAATCCTTTTCACATTCAACAAAAACTGTCTATTTCCTTCCTTTTGTTCTTTGACAAATTAGGGCAACCTCATTCCACAATGCCTAAGGGTTATATTTGGAAATCAGCATTCATTGTTTTGAGCTTTTTTTTTTTCCCTTTGGAACTTGTTCTAAGGCTTTTCTAATTCTTCAGTTTTCATGCTGGGAGTTCCTAATGGGTGGGTATGGCTTGGCTGAGCAAGGAGAAATATGAGGATTTATTCAGTTTTGGGACCCCTCAACCCACAAATCTTTTTTCCTGAGAAGGGAATATAGGGTTTGATTATTTAAAAATTAAGTAGTAAATATCAAATAATCCTTAAATAAGAATTAGAAACCTGACATTATCTTCACATCACCATATGTTTACTGACCACCTTTAAAATCAGGTATGCTATTTCATTCATTTAACAAGCACTGGTTAATAGCTTACTTACTATTTGCCAGGCACTTGCTTCCACACAAACCTAATGCAAAACAGTGTAGAAACAGTCTAAACATGACACATGAGGCCTTAGAAGTACCAAATTCTTTATCTATTTGGCTATTCCTAAGTGTAAGGCAGGAATACATTCCTTAGAGATCTACCTTCTACCTATGTCACTACTTAGCCCTGTAAGCTGTAAGGCCTCTAGTTTCCATCTCTGAACTTATGATGGTCACGCAGCAATAAAACACTATGTTAAACATATATGTCTCCATGATTTATTTCCTCTTCTTGAAAGTTAGGTATGAGAAATGTAAATGGACCAAACTGATGAAAACTGATGAAAACAGTTATAGCTCATATATAAATCAAATTTTTGTCAATAAAACTATCCTGTTTTCCTAATGGCTTATATTAACATAAAGCCCTTCTGAACTGTGATTTCGGCATGATCTTCAATTGGCCATGGATTATATAGCATTTTAGCTTCAAAATTCTCTCTCTTCTTTATTGATAAGGTTTTGGCTATTACTTTAGGCACTAGGAGAGTTGGCCTGCAGTAATCCTTTAATATAAATAAATCACTTTCTAATTTAGTGGGGTTTTTTTTAGTTGTCAAGCTTTTAAAACTTAAGGCTTTCCTTAAAAAAGTACATCTATAATTGCATTAAATACCATCCTAAAATCTATAGTAGCTAATGAAAACAAAACTAAGCTTGTGAAAAAGAACTTAGCCTTGGAGTAAAATGAATCAATAATTTTTTTTTACCTTTAAGGATGGCAAATTTGGTAGTGCTGTCCCTTAGGCATTTGCCACAATCACATCAAATAGTTTCTAGAAGTAGGAAGGTACAATAGACAACCTGGATTTGAAATCAGAGCATATGGGTTCAAAACCCAGATCTGCTACTTACTAACTGTATGACCTTAGAGAAGTCACTTAACGTCTATGGGATTCAGTTTCCTCATTTGTGAAATGAGGAAGATGTCCTTTGAGGTCCCTTTTGGCTCTAAATCAAAGACCTTTGTAGCATATCAGAAGATACAAGGAAAAAGATAAGAAGGCATTTAGGTCCATTTTGAATTGTCCTTAAAATTACATACAAAAGGACCACAAAGCTCAATAAAAAGATTAAAAAAAACCTCAAACATGCTTTTCTAGGGGAACATTTTGACAAATAATGGTTTAAATTGCTAGCAAATACAAATTTTAACTATGATGTTGCTTATAGTTGTGCTACTGCCAATAGACACTCATTCCATGAAGTTGATAGAAATATTAAGGAGTGCAGTGTATTAACCTTTTATCTTGTCCATCTACTTATGAGATAACTTCTAGAGGGATGCCTTAAAATCTTATATAGCACTGTTATAGAATACATATCTTAAAACAGGTATATTTTCCAAGCATTTCTAAAAAATAGACATGAGCTCTAGGATCTAAGAACGTTAGTAATGTGAGAAACCTAATGGATTAGGATGAGAGAGGAAGGCAATGCAAATTCTTGGAAAATATAAGTTTTCCATATAATAATACAATTATAATATAATTGATATATCTAGTAATAAATCAATTAAATGTAACATATAATGTAATATAATAATCACTGTACCTGAAACTTCCAGTTAAGTCTGATACTCCTGGCCTCAGCAAAATTTGAGTGAAGAGGTTGGCTCCTCTGCTGCCAAATAAAGTATCCATGTCTTTATTTTAAAATTGCAGAGATACACAATAGATTTAAAATATGAGAACATCAGTCACACATACTGATTAATATTGACATTAATTACAGCACAAGTAAATTTATGCTATCAGATTTTAAAAATCTGCTACCTTACTTTAAGAACCTTTATTGGTTAAAAAAAATTCCAGCAGATAAGGGTGTTTGCCTATAAAAGAATTTTCTGGCTGGTAAAAGATGTGACATCCTCCATTTTTAAGACAGGAATTCAAGTTTTTCCTTCTTTGAAAAATTAGGTATAAAGACTTTCTCCCTCACCCCAAACATCTGAATTAAAACTTATTTCAAAACAAATTCTATTAATGTGTATTCATATTCTTATTCTAGAAGATTAATAATTTTCAAATAAGGGAAAATAAGTTAAAGGAATGTGTATAGCATGTTCTAACTTTCCAGTATGTGATATAATGTAATATTGTGAATGACTGCTTAGAAGTGGTGTAAAAGTTATCATTCAGGAAAAAAAGGCAGGCTTGTCACTTGTCCAGAATGAGGGATAACAGTTTCAATGCTGTGTTGATAGCCATAAAAGTTAACAAACTAGTATTTACTAAGTGTTTATTAGGTGTTTAGTAATTTTTCAGTTGTGTCCCACCCTTTGTGACCCCATTTGGGGTTTTCTTGGCAAAGATATTGGAGTTGTTTGCCATTTTCTTTTCCAGCTCATTTTACTGATGAGGAATTGAGGCAAACAGGGTTAAGTGACTTGCCCAGGGTCACATACTAGTAAGTGTCTGAGGCCAGATTTGAACTGAAGATGAGTTTCCTGATTCTAGGCCTGGTGCTCTATCCACTGCACTACATCTACTGCACACCTTAGCTGCCCTCCAGCGAACTAGGTAGAGCATTTAAGAGAAGGCAGTGGAAGAATCTAGTAGAAGGAGAAAGTATGATAGGGTTTGCCCAAATGCCTAACAAAAGGGACCTATATCAATTAAATTAAAGATCCACTGAGGTAAACAGCAATCAGTTATAGGTAATTCAGTTTCCCAACCCCCACTAGATAGTAAGCAAATTGAGGACAAGGACTTTCTATTTCTCCAGGACCTAGGCCTGATATTCACAAAGAACACTTAGCATCTGTTGATTAGAACTAGCCACTGAGGGATTTAAGAAAAAAAAAAGATTCCTCCTTTTTTACATCTAAAGGAGTGTAGTTCTAACCAGGACAAATCATTCATTTGCATGCTTTTGGGAAATTGGGAATGGTTTCTTTGTATAGTAGTCTAATACATTTGGAAGGGAAGAGCTTTTATCACAGCTAAATAGAATTGAATTCCAAGTTAAAAGCTATGAATAGTTTTCATTAGCATTTCAAAAATATATCAGGACCAGCAGAAAGTGCTTAGAAAGCCAATACAAAGTTGTTTGTCTTTCTCTCTCTCTTTTTTATGGCTTTGGGAAACAAGTTTTCCCTTTTCTTAGGGAAAGTTATTTTCTTAGAGTCACAAAGAATTCAAAGGATCCGGACTAGACCTTTGATTTCCTGGATAAAGCCAACTCCAGAAGGAAGAACCAAACCAAGTCTTTACTTTCTCAGTAACTTAAAGTCTTTAAGTGACTTCTCCAGGGCTAAATTGCTAGGCTGTGTCTAGAGGCAGGATTTAAGTAGGCTTTCATCATTTACTACTCAGTGGCTGCCTCTCCAAGAATCCAACAGTAAGCAAACATCACTTTACTGTCAGAAGCTTATAAAGATGTGAAAGGTGATTAGTAGTAGAGTGGTAGAAAACTTTAAATATGTCAGCATGAAAATATATATATTTTTAATATTTGAAACAGAGCCCTGCAAATAACTAGTATTTAAAGTAAACGGCTTTAAAAGTATACTTTTGATATACTTAAAATATTACAGAATCAAACATTTAGGCTTACTTGCTCAATAAATTAATTGGATTAGATTCAAAAGCAACTTAGACATTATTAGCTCTCTTGTGACAGAAAAGCAAAACTTTTGAATCAAAAGTAATTGAACATAATTGCTGCTACATTAACTATACTGTCAGAGAAATTATAGAAATCTAATTCAACTGTCTCAATTTATAGATAAGAAAAACTACAAACCCAGCATCACAGAAGTAGTTAGTAATAAAGCTGGGACTAGAACCCAGATGCACAAAAATGTCAGTGAAGTTTAAGTAGTCACTGACTGATGTTTAAAATATCACATGCATTTATGAATATCATACAAAAATCAAACAACTTTAAGACTAAAAATAATTTAGAGTGGATTACTCTGTAATACCTTAATTTTTAGGGTTTAGACTTTCCATTCAAAAATTGTTCTTACAGAAGTCCTATGCATTATGTAAATACCTCTTTACTTTTTGAATAGAAGATTCAAGACAAAAAAAAAATTACTTTACAGACAACTAAATCTACCTGATAATTTTTCTCTTCAAATCCCAGCCATAGACACCTCCATTTCCTCTGTAGCGAGTTCCACAAACAATGTCAAAATTACCTTCTTTTTGCTTCCTATAAGAAACATACATTAGCTGACAATTTCTAAAAGTTAGCACAACTATTATTTTCACAATATAAAATTCTTAAATATCTGAAATTCATGTAAAACTCTATTGGGTAGTTAAAGATATATTTAAATTTTTGTCATTTGCTATAGTTTCCCAATGTATTAGAAATATTACCTACCTAATGAACTCTGGAATAAACTTTGGCTGTAATTTAGGGGAAAAAACAAACAGTAAATAAAATGAAGCTAAACTTTTAAAACTAACATAGAAACAAGTTTTCAAAGAAAAAAACTTACATGGTGTGAAAGATCAGCATCCATAATAATAATGAAGTTTCCTGTAGCATGTTGTATTCCATGAATATATGCTGTTCCTGATAACAAAAGTTTAAGTTACTTCAATTCTTGGTGACTTTTAGTGAATTACGGTTAAATTATCAAGAGGAAAAAACTTAAGCGCAAGTCAGTATTTAAAATGATACACATCTTAGTTACTGTTTTCAACTTAGATACATGTTCTAGGCTTCTTAATTTAAAGCTAATTTTTCTTAACAAGAAGAAAAGTTTATTGGTGTTTTTTTAAACATCACTTCCCAATGATGCACCAGGCTAGACTCTCCTTTGTAAGAAAAGTTAAACATAACATATTGACACATCACCTCTGAAAACATGCAGCAGTTAATAACTCAATCTATTACCTCACTAGTAAGAAGAGGGAACTACTAAATTTCTCCCTCCGATGTGCACACCTACTAAAAGAGAATAGATGACATTCATAATTATCCAAGTTATCTACTATAAACTCTAAGGCTAGCAAACAGTAAAAATCTTCAGCCTAACACTTAAGATGTGTTAGGAAAGACAAGAAAAGGCAGAATAAAAATTCATTATTTGTATAACATTTTGAGGTTTGCAAAACAATTTACTCACAATAATCTCACGAGATACACTGTATAAATATTATCATTTTATAAATGAGGAAAATAAAGTGCCAAGATTTTATGAGACTTTTTCATGATCACATAGCTATGCTGTATTAGAGACAGGAGTCAAACCTAGTTCTCCTGAGTACAGGCATCTACCTGCATTGCTTGGCTGCTTCTAAGGAATATCAACATTCTCTGATTTTTCTGCTCCAGACTGAATCATCACACTCACCGAGGTGTGTGGGTAAACCTAGGTTTTTGAAGGCCAACATAAGCTCTATCATATTTTATCAACACAGGAAGGCTGTGAGTCTTAGTGACAGACTGGGTCTGCTGAGGACTAACTTTATTCAAATACATGAAGGTTAAATACCAGAAGAATAGCTGTTAGGTGATAGATTCTCTGGCTGTGGGTGAACATGAAACAAATAAAAATACAAAATAGCCATCAGTCTTATGAGGGTCCCTTTCACTTTCATGATGGCAGAAGAGGCAGGTGTTAAGAACCATCTGGGTTTCAGACCACTCATAGGTATAATTTTTACTTTTTATAATTGCATATTTAGAATGCTGACAACCAACAAGATAATGTGCTGCTAGAAAAATTAAGCCACAATCATTTTAGCTATTGAAGTTGCAGCTAAATGAAGACTAAGCATGATTCCTCAGGAATCAAGAATCTGGCCGATTTACTTTTATAGTGTGACCAATGCAACAACAAAAAAATCATGATATGAGGGCATCTTTTTCTGCACTGTTCCTAACTCAAAAACAAAAAAGGATCTTTGATCTCAATAGAGGAATTCCCTATGATGATACAGAACAAAATCCAAACAATCTGCTCATTCTGTGATAATCCTAGTTCTGAGGAGGGACAGGGTCAAAAGAAAGAACAGAATAAATGGGAGGGCTGGGCAAGATTAAGGGAAATAAGAGTTTTTCACAACATGTCTACTATGGACGTGTTTTGCATAACTGCACGTGTACAACCTATATTAAGTTGCTTACCTTTTCAATGAGGGTGGTTGGGGAGGGAGGAAGAGAGAAAATTTGAAACCTAAAGTTTTAAAAACATATTAAAAAAAATGTTTTCACATGCTACTGAGAAATAAGAAATACAGGAAATGGGGTACAGAAGTCTATCCTGCCCTACAGGAAAATAGAAGGAGAAGGGGATAAAAGAAGGGGAGAGAGATAGAAGAGAGGACAGACTAGGGGAAGGGATATTCAGAATGCATGCCATCTTGGGGTGGGGGGAGGGGGGAGATGGGGTGAAAATTTGGAATTCAAAAACTTGTGGGAGTGAATGTTGAAAACTAAAAATAAATAAATTTATATTAAAAAAAAAATAAAATAAACTTAAAAAAAAAAGATGAGCCCTTGTTTTAAGGGAGAAGTTTGGGATCTACATGTTGCCCATTCAACTGTCTATCAATCTGAACAGTAGGTAGTTCTGTAGGGAAACTAATAGTGATTATAATTTCATTTAGAAAGTTCTGCAGTGTTACAGGGCTTAATGTAAACAGCACAATGTATCATGTATGATCTTCTAAAGACGTACGTCTTTCAGTTAATTTTATGAAAGCAAAGATGTGGCTCACAAGTGCAAAACAAAAACCACCACAAAATAATTTGAGTATATATGCTAATATCTGTTGCAGGAGATAGTGGTAAACCTGCCAAGTGCCTTAGAAGCTATTGAGTCCAACCTTCTCATTTTACTGAAGGTATGCAGAAGCACAGAGAGGCTATGGGAACTGCACAGTGATCACAAACTAAGTGAATGAGCTGGAAATAGAACCCAGGCAGGTTTTCCTGATTTCAAGTTTAGTGCCCTATCCAACATACCATGCAGACTTGAAGCAGCATATACTTTGAGGTTCGGTGACTTTAATATAAAGGTGAGAAGGAAAAGATGGAGAAAATTATGCTAAAAATATAACTTGGGATTTAAAAGTGAGACGGCAAAAGCTTGTGAACTACAGTTGCAAATTCAAACAACTGTGAGAAATCTTCTCATACCTATCAGATTGGCTAAAATGATAGAAAGGGAAAATGACAAATGTTGGAGGGGATGTGGAAAAATTGGCACTGAATAAGATTACTTTAGTCAGAGCTGTCATTTTTATTATACTGGCTCAGCCCAGTCATGAACAATTAATATTTCTCCAATTATTTAAGTCTGATTTTATTTGTATAAAAAGTGTTTTATAATTATGTTCATATAGTTCTTGGATTTGTCTTGGCAGGTATACTCCTAGGATTTCATATTATCTACAGTTATTTTAAACAAAAAACTCTTACTAGCTCAGGCTTTGCTGGTGATATGTTGAAATGCTGATAATTTATGATGGTTTATTTTATATCTTGCTACTTTCCTAAAATTATTGCCTCAACTAATTTTTTAGTTGAATCTCTAGGACTGGCCAAGCATACCATCATATTGTCTCCATGGAGTGATAGGTTTATTTCCTCATTGACCATTCTGATTGTTCAATTTCTTTTTCTTGTTTTATTGATATTGCTAGCATATCTTGTACAATACTGAATAATACTGGTGATAATAGGTATCCTTGTTTCACTCCTGATGTTACTGGGAAGGCTTCTCTTGCTTATCCCATTACAGATAATGCTTGTCGATGGTTTTAGGCAGATGCTTCTTATCATTTTAAGGAAAAATCCATTTATAACTATGCTTTCAAGTGTTTTTTAAACAGGAATGAATATTGTATTTTATCAAAAGCCTTTTCTACATCTTTGTAATTATTATTTTTGTTGCTTTTATTACTGATATAATCAATATGTTAACAGTTTTCCTTATAGTTTCCTAATAGTTTTCCTTGGCTCAATGGAGCCATCCTTGTGTTCCTGGTTCATATCTCGCTTGGTCATAATTATACTCTTTGTGATATAATGATATAGTCTCCTAGCTAGAATTTTCTTTAGGATTCTTTTCAATATTCATTACTGAAACTTGCCTATGCTTTTCCTTCTCTGTTTCTGCTCTTTCTAGTTTAGTTATCAACCCAATATTTATTCCATAAAAAGTATCTGGTAGGACTCCTTTGCCTATTATTCCAAATAACTTATTTTATATTAGAATTAGTTAATCATTAAATGTTTGGTAGAATTCACTGGTAAATCCATCTGATCCTGATATTTTTTCTTTAGGACAGTAACTTATGGCTGTTCAATTTCTTTTTCTAAAATAGGTTTATTTTGATACTTTATTTCCTCTTTTGCCAAGCTGGGCAGTTTTTATTTTTTAAGTATTCTTCCATTTCACTTAAATTGTTAAATTTATTGGCATAAAATTGGGCAAAACAACTCTTAATAATTGCTTTAATTTACTCTTCATTAGGTATGTATTCACCCTTTACATTTTTTATATTAGTGATTTGGTTTTCTTCTCTCTCTTTTCTAATCATAACCAATGGTTTATCTATTTTATTGTTTTTTCATAAAACCAGCTCTAGTTTAATTTATTAATTCAATGGTTTTCTTACATTCAATTTTATTAATCTTACCTTTAATTTTCAAGATTTCCAATTTGGAGTTTAATAATTTGTTCCTCTTTTAGTTTTTTAAACTGCATATCCAATTCATTGATCTGCTCTTTATTTTACTGATGTAAATAAACATTTAGAGATATAAATTTTCCTCTGATTACTGCTTTTGCTGCATCTCATAAGTTTTGGTCTGTTGTATTATTATCATCCTCTTTAATACAATTATTTATATAATTTGCTCTTTGACCTACTCATTCTGTAAGATTAGGTTATTTAGTTTCCAATTAATTTCCAATCAGTTTTTCCATGGTCCTTGATTAAATGTAATTTTTATTGAATAATGATCTGAAAAGGATACATTTAATTTTTCTGCATTTCACTATAAGCTTTTTATGCCCTTATAGTCAGTTTTTGTAAAGGTGCCAGATACCTCTAAAAAACGAATATTTCTTTCCATTTCCATTCAATTCTGTCTAGATGCCTACCATAGCTAGCTATCTAAGATTCTATTCATCAGCTTGACTTCTTTCTTATTTATTTTTTGTTAGACTTGTATAGTTTTGGGTGGAGAGTGTTGAAGTCCCCCACTATTATAGTTCTGCTAAATATTTCCACCAGTAATTAATTTACCTTTTTCTTTATAAATTTGGATGTTACAGCATTTGGTGCATAGTTAGGATTGATATTACCTCATTATCTATGACACCTTTTAGCATAATGTAATTTGCCTGCTCATCTCTTTTAATTAAATCTATTTAAGCTTTAGTTTTGTCTGAGATCATGATTGCTACCCCTGCTTTTTTCATATTAGCTGAAGAATAAAAAATAAATTTTATTTTGTGCTTCTCATGTTTAAATGTGTTTCTTGTAAACAACACATTCTCAGGTTCTGGTTTTTGATCCATTCTGCTGGTTTGCACTTTATGAGTGAGTTCACCC